TATTATCTTACTTGTCTTTCCTACTACTCCTAGTCCCCCCTTTCTATGGCTTTCAGTGATAACAACAAGCTTCTCCAGGTCATTAATTCAGGCTCAATCCAGGCTCCTAGTCCTACCCCCAAAAGAACATTCTTAATAGACAATCACCACTTTAGCTTTTAAGGATAAAGAAAGCTAGCATTACTTAAATGTCACACGATGCTTTTTAGCTACACTTGGCTAATGAAGGCCTTTCAATGTGTGTGTATGACACGGCACTACTTACAGGGTAGGGCAGGAGCTGGCAGACGACCTTAGTCCAGGCTGCTGCCCTCAAGCCCATAGCACTCCTAGTGGGAGTGGCTGGGTCAGAGTGACAGTCATCTGGCTATCTCAGCAGCTTTAGATCCAGAATGCCCTCTGGCTGTGCTAGGCAGAGAACTGCTTTGCAATGAATAAAACTGATAGCTTTTCACTGGATACACATTAAATGAAATGATATTTTTTCTTTAATACTAACTCACTAAGGATGTGGCAATAACATAGAAGCGAATCAAGATGGTAATCTCAGAATTAGGCGACAACATTTACCTGTTTTCTTATTAAATCTATTCCCTTGCACGTTCAAAAAATCTTTTACTGAGAGTCTCCTATGGTCTAGGCCAGCAGTCGGCAAACTGTGGCTCGTGAGTTTAGGTCAGTGGTGGGCAAACTCATTAGTCAAGAGAGTGGCAAACTGCGGCTTGCAAGCCACACATGGCTGGCGAGCCGCAGTTTGCCGACCATTGGTCTAGACAGTGTACAAGAAACTGGGGATACAAAGATGACAGAGGCTGGGAGGGCACTGCTAGGACTTAGAGACCAGCCAATCCCAACCCCACTGCTGCCTCCAGTCTTCTCCTTCCTATATGCTTGAGTGGGGACAGGCAGTTAGCTTACTGAGTCCTTGTGAGGGTCCGATGGGATAATGCAAGTAAAATGCATAGCATAATAACATAGTCCTCAACAGCAAAGACTTCCAATTTATAAGGGAAATAGCACAAATTAAACACAAAATGAATGATTAACCATTTCAACCACAAGGATGATGGAAAGAATTATTTTGGTGTGTGATAACTTGAGAAACACATGCAAAACCAAATGTGTTCCTGGATATGCCTTCCAAGAGTGCAAGACACTCTTGCACTCAATTTTCAAGGACAACAATCCTCAGGGAATGAGTGAGAACCTGTGTTCAAGACTAGCAGCGGTATAGGGAGCGTCCTGCTATGTGCCCTCTAACTTCTCAAAGAGAACAGACCACCTCACTAAATGCCCAGAGAGAAGTCCTAGCATCACCTAACTGTAGTGGCAGGATCACATTGTGACTGAATAAATGTCACAACGGCACAAATGTTCCTTTATCCAGAGTGAAACAGGGCAAAGAACTCTGGAATGACTGTCAAAGAACTCCCTAATTTTACCACACAACCTAAAGCAGGTTTGGGGCAGGGTTCAGGGAATGTCACATGACCAAGGCACTTCAACACCCCTCCCCCCAAGATGATCTGTTCTACCTGTGAAAAATGGAGTAACATAAAATCCTGTCCATCAGACTGAGCCCTGTTCTAATCAAATCACACAAAGTGTGTGACATCATTAGCAAAACCTAATGCCCCCCAGGATGAATTAGGGCCGTGGTCGGCAAACTGCGGCTTGCAAGCCACATGCAGCTCTTTGGCCCCTTGAGTGTGGCTCTTCCACAAAACACCATGGCTTGGGCGAGTCTATTTTGAAGAAGTGGCGTTAGAAGAAGTTTAAGTTTAAAAAAATTGGCTCTCAAAAGAAATTTCAGTTGATGTACTTTAGATATTTGGCTTCTTTGACTAATGAGTTTGCTGACCACTGAATTACGGCACAAAAATGTGCTCAGCCTTCTTCCGTGACTTTGGGAACTGCAGGGATTCCTCTCCTAGGTATGGTTCACAACTCAGGCAATTTGTCCTGAGACCACAGTTGGGCTAAAAAAAAAAAAAAAAACTCTGAAAAGTCATCACAAAAAGTAATTACCAATGTTTATTTGATTTGCAAACTATAGTCCTTTGTTGCTGCCAAGTTGGCCAGCAGGACAGACTGATGAATTAGAATGTGGTCAATTTTAAAGATTTAACTTCCCTTCGAGAGACGCTCTCTCTTGAGAGTCCAAGCATGCAGGGTAATTCTCATTAGCAATGTCTGCAAAGACAATCTCATTTCTACACTGAGCTGCAGAAGGGAGGACTGATTTCAAGGAAAGAAAAAAAAAACTTAAATATACATATTTTATAATACTAGGCTTGAGTGAAATCAGTAAGAAGCCATAGGAAAGTACATTAGTCCTTAGTTAGAGAAGTAAGGCAAATCATGAATGCTTAGCAGAATAAAATCTCAGAATCTATTTTTAAAATGAAAATCATTCCTGGCTCAATTGGACAAGCCTCCCGGCAGTCCCATTTAACCATCTGGAAATACTTCTTTGTTCAATTTTTGGAAGTGTTAAAAAAAGGCATATAAAGGACAGCTTTCTCTCAAAGGTAAAGAACTGCCTACGTATATTGTCTTTTACAAAAATAGTCAGGAACAAGTTCTTACAATATTATTTTAGGCAAGCTATCTAACCTGTGTTCTTTTCTCCTCTTTATATAATTAGTGCTTATCTATATACTAATCTTCACTAATAAAAGAGTAATATGCTAATTAGACCAGGAGACCTTTGGACATCCTTCAGGACAAAGCCTGGGGCTTGGACCCCTGCAAACCACACACAAATGGCTCTCATCCCCTTGCCCAGGCTGGCCACCCCCCCAGGGGGCCTCATCCTGATGGGGGTGTGGCCAGCCTGCAAATGGACCCCCCTCCCAGCCCCTCAGCCAGGATGGCCACGCCCCCCAGCAGGGGACACCCCCCCCCCCCCCCCCCCCGCAGGGGATGTGGCCAGTCTAAAAACAGCCCTCAGCCCCTCAGCCAGGATGGCCACACCCATGGGGGTGTGGCCAGCCTGCAAACCACTCCAGCCCTGATCCCCAAGGGGACCTCCATCCTGATTTGGGACTCCCTTCAGGGCAGACCAGCTGGCCCCCACCCATGCACTAGGCCTCTATCTATACTAATAAAAGGGTAATATTCTAATTAGACTGGGAGACCTTCCTGGACATCCTTCCAGACAAAGCCATGCTGGCTGGGCTGAGACAGAGGTGGTTAGGGTCAATCAGGCCAAGAGGAGAGGGCTGTTGTGGGGGAGGGGGGGCAGTTGGGGGTGAGAAGGCTGGCAGGAGGGCAGTTGGGGGTGAGCATGCTGGCAGACAGAGTGGTTAGGGCAATCAGGCAGGCAGGCAGGCAGGCAAGCAGTTAGGGGCCAGCGGTCCTGGATTGCAAAAGGAATCCCAGATTGGAGACCGTGCAGGCTGGGCTGAGGACACCCCCCACACATAACCCGTGCACAAATGTCGAATGGTGGAACGGCCAGAACAGCTGGTAGACCAGTTGCTATGACGTACGCTGGCCACCAGGAGGCAGATGCTCAACGCAGGAACTGTCCCCTGGTGGTCAGTGCATCTCATAGTGGGAACGCCACTTGGCTGACCAGGATGAGCGGTTTGGAGCAGCTGCTAGCAGGCCCAGGGTGAGGCCAAGTCTCTGCACCTATCAAATACCCAAGACAATCCAGACTCTGGTCTGACTCCATCAGCTGATGCAGGCCCTCTAAGGTGTGTTCTAGAAAGAGTGCAGGGAGCTGGCACAGGCAGGTGGCAAGAGGGGACGTGACTGTGCCCCCCCGCCCCCCGCCTGGAAGGCTGTCCTGATGGATGAGGATCCTGGAGCACGGTGCCCTGAACATCTTCAATGGTGCCACCAACCTGGCATCACACATCAAGAAATTCACCGAGTGACTTTGGGGTGCAAAGCTCTCCGTCAGGTTCCTCCAGAACACAGAACATGCTTTTACCCAAGACATCACCCCGAAATATCAACTCAGATATTTCCTCATTCAGCAGCTGCTCAGAGGGCAGGTCCACAGCTGCTCGGTGACCGGGAGAGCAGAGCTCTCACAGTGGGCCGATTCCCGCAGGCCAGGCCCCCCACCAATGCATGAATTCACGCACCGAGCCTCTAATAAGGTAATAAAAGCCACAAGTTCCAAAGATTGGAGCAGAAATGTTCACTCTTGTGTCCACCACAGCAATGTTTAAGTGAATAGTATGAAAATCTTTCTTTAAGGCTGAATGAATCTGACCATCAGGCTAGGCCATGGAGTTGGAATTAAATCACAGGATGAAAACCACATCTGACTGGGAAAGGTAAACCAGGTGACCTAGTAAACTTCTTCCAGAAGCTGCTTTTTTAATTTGGAAACTGTCCCAGATGACAAGATTATTATGAAATGAAGTTAATCATGGACAATGTGTTCTACTGGGTAGAATTATTCGAGTAGAGACCAATAGGAAGAACAGAGTTGGAGTGACTTTTCCTGTGTGGGAACCAGGCTAGATTAGCTTTGAAAACAGTACGGAACAGTGTCATCACCCTGTGTGACTCAAAAAAACAAAACTAACAAATCCCACATGTGAAGCCATAAAATTAAGTATCAGGAAGTTCAACCCAGTTCTGTTTTTACTCATTGCCAGTACAGATACATTTTTTGAAATTACTTCCAGAAACAGCTTCTGCTGCTCCTGTTTTGCTGGCGTCCTAATCTGTGCTTAATCTGCCTACTTGGGGCAACTACACTGAAAAAAGGTCTTGAAAGATACTCTTTACCTCCCTGGCCCTGGTAAGCTATTAGGAACAGAAAATGGAGTCATTTCGTTGAGCTTAACATACTATTAGCAAAACAAACAAGGATTCATTTCGCAAGAGCTTCTTTTTAGTAATAAGGTAAGACTCGGCCCAAACCTTCCTCTTTTACAAAGCACTTTGTCTCATCAAAGACAGTTGTTCTCACCAATTTTCCCTCCCCTGGGAGAAGACATTCTAAGCAGACCGTGTCTTTACTAAAAATATACCTGAGTCATTTACGCTGCTGTTCCTCTTGGCATAAGCGCTTCGAACCACCTGCTCATAAACCTGAGCACCTATTGTCCTCATGTTGTCCCGGATCAGAATGCCTTGAGCTTGCATCATGAAGAGGTAGGTGTTCACTGCAGAAAAGAGAAAGGAGAGGAAAAAGGGGGTGAATTCAAAAGCAACCATTAAAACAAAACAAAAAACATATATGACTTTGGTTTCTTTACTTTTTAAAAAAACTCTTTCAGCTCTAAAACCTACAAATGCCATAACTCTGTTTTCCACTCTGGATTCAATGTTTTCAGGACACTAACATTCCTTGGGTAGTTAGTAGGACTTTGGGGGAATTTCTGTCAATAGTCAGCAGTTGCAGGAAAAACCATACATTTACAAAGTTATACTCCACCAGGTCTTCAAATATTCAATCTGTATTCTAGCAAGGGGACAATCAGAAAGACCTTTATGAATCAATTAAAACCTTTTAAAAAAGATCTCTGATCTCACGTGTATGCATAACCACAGAAACTGACAACAGTGTGGTGATAGCCAGAGGGACAGTATAATGTTTCTCAACCTTGTGCTAAGTGTAAATAAAAGCATCTTAAAAAAATAAGAGTAAGTTCTCTGATCTCTTTAATTCACTTGCTCAATACTCGATGGCTATACGCAGAGAATGGTAACCACCGACTGCTGTGCTTAATGAAACACTCAGATCTAAGTCTGGTCTTGGCAACCTTATGAAAATGGTGGACTAAGATTCCAGCTACTTTTCTTTGGGATATTTGGAGAGATAAAGAAAATAATGGGGGAGAGAATCCAAGATAGCTGCAAGGGTAAACACCTAGCTGAGCCGCACACAACAGTTTCAATAAAATACAACTAAAATATAAATTGGACATTACCCAGAATTACAGGAAAGTCGACTGACTGGAAATTCTACAATGAGAAGCAAGGAAAAAACCAGAAGGAAGAGCGGAGGAGCTGGAAAAGCCTAAGGTACAGAGACACGTGGCGCGCGGAGAGGCAGTCCGGAGGCGCGCACATTGTGCGCAGAGGACGGACTGTTGACTCCGCTGCCAGATTGCCCTGGCGGGAAGGAGACAAAGGCTCCGGACTGTGCTGGGCCCCAGTTCTGACTCCTCTGAACCCCAGTTCTAAGCCAGACCCTGGGGACCCAGGCTCAAACAGAGGGAGCTGGGCTGTAAGGCAGAACCCCAGGGGAGCGGCGAAAGGAGGTCCCGGAGGCACGCACATTGCACACAGAGAAGGGACGGTTGGCTGTGCCACGGAATTGCCCTGGCGGGAAGGAGATAGGGGCTCCAGACAGCTCTGAACACCACCTCCAACCCCACTTCCAACTGAACTGAACCCCAGTTCCGGGCTCATTGGGGGAGAGCCTACACTGTTTGGTAACAGGTGAAAATCAAGGACACCTTTCTCTCAGAGGTGCTTGCAGCGAGTACTGAAGGACCCTGGGGATTACTGAGACTCAGGAACCGTGGCTGACGGAAGCCAAGCCTATAGGCTCCACCCTGAAACTCCGCCTCATCAGGGAAGCGGCGAAAATGCCAAGACAATGAAATAGATCACAAACGAAAGAAATGGAGGACAAAAAGCGATTGGATATAGAGTTCAAAACCACACTTATAAGGTTGTTCAAGAATCTCCTAGAAAAGGCTGATAAAATAAACGAGACCTATGAATATGAAAAGGGATCAACTAGAAATAATAAGGGATCAACAAGAAATAATAAGGGATCGACAAGAAACAAAGAATACATTGTCTGAAATAAAAAATATTATACAGAGTCCTAAAAACAGAATGGAAGACCGCAAGAATCAAGTCAAAGATTTGGAACATAAAGAGCCAGAAGACACTACTCTGCAGAAGCAAGAAGGCAAGAGAATCCAGAAAATTGAAAATAATGTCAGAAACCTCTGGGACAACTTCAAGCGAACCAACATCAGAATTATGGGAATCCCAGAGAGAGAGCAAGATATCGAAAACACACTGAAAGAAATAGTGACAGAAAACTTCCCCACCTGGGGAAAGAAATAGACTTACAAGTCCAGGAAGCCCACAGAACCCCAAACAAAAGGAACCCAAGGAGGACCATACCAAGACAAATCATAATTAAAATTCCAAGAGCAAAAGACAAAGAGAAAATATTAAAAGCAGCAAGAGCAAAGCAGGTAGTTACCTATAAAGGAGCACCTATACGATTGTCAACTGATTTCTCAACAGAAACCATGCGAGGCCAGACGGGAATGTCAAGAAATATTCAAGGTGATAAATAGTAAGAAACTACAGCCAAAAATAATCTATCCAGCAAAGTTACCACTCAGAATCAAAGGCCAGATAAAGAGCTTCACTAATAAAAAAAAAAAAAGCTAAAGGAGTTCATCACCACTAAACCAGAATTATATGAATTGCTAAAGGGGGTTCTTTCGGAAGAGAAAGTAAATAAAGATAAAAATTATGAACAACAAATACGTAACTATCAACAAGTGAATCTAAAAACCAAGGAAATTAAAAAAAAAAACTCTGATGAACAATATTAACTGGTGAATATAATAGAATCAGAGGTATGGAAAGGGAGTAAATTGACGATTCTTGGGGAAAAGGGGAGAGGGAGATATGGGAAGAGACTGAACATAAACTGTGCACCTATGGATGAGGACACTGGGGGGTGGGGAAAGGGCAGAGGGTGGGGTGGGAACCTGGCGGAGGAGAGCAATGGAGGGGGGGGGGGCGGAAAGAGGAACATTTGTAATAATATGAACAATAAAGATTTATTTAAAAAGAAAGAAAGAAAGAAAATAATGGAAGAATGTAATCAGTATTCACTACCCACCCACCTCAGCCGTGAAGTTCTAAGTAATAGGAAAAAAGAAGGGGCTAAGTTCAAGTGTCAATTGAAACATATTTGCTTTGCAATATGTACAAATATAAAATCATGCTACTGTACAACCAATGCTAATATAATGTTATATATCAATTATATATTAACTAGAAGCCTGGTGCATGAAATTTATGCATGGGGAGGGGTCCCTCAGTCTGGCCTGCACCCTCTCCAATCTGAGACATCCCTCTCTCACTATCTGGGACCGCTGGCCTGCCTGCCTGCCTGCCTGATCACTCCTAACCCCTCTGCCTGCTTGCCTGATCGCTCCTTGCCTCTGCCTGCCAGCTTGATCGCCCCTATCTTGTCCCCCCTGCCAGCCTGATTGCCCCTACCTTGCCCCCTGCCGGCCTGATCAGACCTTAACTTGCTCCCTTGCAGGCCTGATCACCTCTAACTGCCTTGGCCCAGCCTAAGCGCAGTCTGGCCTCCCTCTGCAGGAGGTGACCTGGTGGATCAGGGGAAGGTGCCGCCCCCATAACCCCGCTGCTCCTGCTGCCACTGACAGCCTGAGCCTAGGCCCTTCGCAGCCTCATGTCCCCCATCGCCCACCCTCTGGCTGCCAGCCCTTGCTGCGACCAGAGCCTTTGGGCTGTGGGGGAGGGCCCACGAGGTGTCCATGCACCTCATGGTGACTGGTTGGTTGTTTTGGTGTTGTCTTTGGTCCCTCACTGCCCTCCCCCGCCCCCCCCCCCCCCCCCCCCGTTCCCTCCCAGCCTGGTCACCCCACGCAGCCTGCCTGTTCAGTTGTCTGTCCATTCGTGAAAACCCCTGGCTCTTTATATTATGGATAAAAAGCACAACAGAACAAAAAATATAACAAATTATTATTCTGCTTAACTTCCCAATCACTGTCATTTTGGAAAAGTGAGTTCCACTGGGTTTTCTTTAAGTCTCTCTATGATATGAAACTCAGACATCCCAAATACGAGTGAATACAATTCTGGTACTCCACTTGCCATCTCAAATACCATGCCATCTGTTTTCAAGAAACGGAGAGGTCTAAAAACATACTTCTGAACTAGTCAATCTAGTTTATTCGCTTTCCCCACACTGCTGTGAAAGGGGGGTGTCTCACAGGGTAGCACATTTATAAACCTAAACTCTGGTGTATTAGGATCCTCTGAACACTTGGTCGAACTCCAACCAAGCCCCAGGCAGGTAGCACTCAATGGAGAGCTGGAGCCACTCCTCCAGATTCAATACAGATGGCCTGCAGCTGCCCTGCTCTGCAACTAGACATCATTATCATCACAGAGTCCTGTACCTAACGGCAGTAAATAACTAAGTGGGTGAAGTTTAGAGGTCAATTTACTTTATTCCAAGCTATTGTGTTTGGTGCTTGTGCTGGCGATGGGGGTGGACATGGGAACCCACCAACTGCATACCTCTCAATATTGAAAACCTAGGTTGGCCCACATTAAGCAGGAGCATAAAATATTTTAAATCATCTCGAGCCATAAAATAATCAACAAAAGAAGTCAATGTTCAGAATGCCTTCAGAAATGAGGTAGCACTCTCAAAGTAGGTCTTGACTGCGAGGCAAGCACCTGCTTAATTTCTGGCTTTGGCTGAGAATAGATCAGATAGTGTTTATTCTCTGTAGCTGGAAAATGTTACAAAAAAAGATAGCTTCAACTCCTTTAAAAAAAAATGTAATTCTGTGAAGCCTCTGAAAACAAAGAGCTATATTTCATTTCCTATTTATGGCAGATAGCACAGTGCCTGGTCTCAATAGTAGGCAGTCCATAAATATATGCTAAACATAAGATTTAAACTTCAATGTCAAATTTCTAAAGTGGTTCTGTGGTGTTTTTTATCCTTTGGGCTACAGAATATGAACATCGCATACAGTAACTGCCCTGAAATCCTCCTTCCATTCCCAACCTACTATGAAACCAGTTATCTTCAATAGCATAAAAACATGTATTCGTTGAACATTATGTGTAAAACTGTTAGGCACTGCCAAAAATACACTATCTCCTTCCCCACAAATTTCACTCTCTTCTCTGCAAAGGACACTTTGGTTAAGCCCCTCTTAAATGCTCTCCCTTTCCTAGTTCTAGGACCCCAAAAGCTAAGGTAGTTCTCAGACTGCCCTGCCTGTCTCCTGAGGTTTTTAAAGCCTGCTTCCTAGTGAGTCAGAGAGGGGTGGCGAAGACTTGCACTCCCAACGAGTTTACAAGTGTTGATGTGGTTGATCAGAGAATCCACCTTTCTGGTACCACAGTT